TGTAAAACGTGGACTTCATTCTTGATTGATTACATGTTTTGTGGCTGAAAGCATGCTATATTTTCAGCGGACCGAAGAAACCCATAATTTTCCGGTTACCACACGCAAAGATTATTTGTGGATTTTAGAATCTACTATTGTTATCTGCTGTTCATAATAATATTAATATTTTACAATTTAACGCCCTCTAGACTACTTCTCTGTGAGTTCTATTTTAACTAAGGTGAGAATATATATGTAGAACATCACCAAAACAATGCGGTGATAAACGCTTACTGTGACAAAAAATTAGTTGTAAATGTGAATGATTCGATTTCGTGAAATATGATATGCGTCTGTGCAAAAAGCGTACCTAAAAATAAATGTAAAACAAATATGTATTCACCCTTTTCATATTCAATAGACCTTTTAGATTGTTACGATGGGCAAATACTTATTTCTTTATAACTAAAAACATAGCTGTCATAGTACCACTCGTTTGGAAAAGAATGGAAAAACAAATAGAGATTAATTTAATAGTAAGCCTAAGCAGGTAAATCGTAAAATCGAGATTCATATGCCACTAGATTTGCAAAACGAAACTGTATACCATTACTGAATCATTTTTTTTTAAACGCACGATATGTGGCTTCAAGACGTCTATGGCAAGCATGTACTAGGTCGCTAATATGCTCTCCTCACGTTTGATAAGCGGATAGTCTCAAAAGCTATATAAATTCCTTAAAACACCCAGAACATGATATGATGAGCATATTGAATACTTAGAATCCGACACAACCCTAAAATCAGTTTTTCTTTTTATCATTAACATGTTCTTATGCATAACAGTCAAAGGATTAGTAGCGAAACATCGTTGTCTATTAATATTGTTCAAGCTGATAATGGTGAGCAATGGTAGTAAATAAAGAACATTAGATTAAAAGAAAAAATTTCTCATCAAGTAGTTTAAAGTTTAATATAATTGGAATATGAATATTTTAGATTTTTAACCTTTTTCGCGCTTCTGTCTAATTTTTTGTTTCCAATTCAGCTTTTAATTCAAGTGATTGCAGTTGTTCTAGTTTTCCATCGCTTTTTCAAAATTCCTTAGTCTTATTAAGGTTTCAAGGAAATTTTGACAAAGCGACATAGAACTAGAGCAACTGCAACCACGGGATTTAAAAGCTGAGACTTCGTTCGATAAAGGAAAGAAATATCTACAAAAAACCAGAAAATGATAAATGATTGAATAAAATAGGTACTAAAGTTTAATTTCTTATTTAAAAGATGTACAATTTCTAGACAAACCGCTCCTCAAATGCTTGGCCAACGGCTAGCAGAATATCACTATGGACATGTTGCAGTAACTCGCGAGTAGCTGCAACATGCACATAGCGATATCTTGCTAGCCGTTGTTCATTCATTGAGCGGGTGAATCTGCGTGGAAATAATAGTCTTTCAATTTGGTCTGTTATCAACCGGTTGTTCAGGTTATTTTGATAACCTTGTTTTTTCCACTTAACATTTGATATTGTTTTGTAGCCTATCCACTTTTTTTGTCTTTTTGTCGTCATAATAAAAAACGTTATCGTTATTATTAACAACGAAATATTTTGGACCAAATCCAGCTTTACCAGCATTTATTAAATCAATATTTTTATAATATTGAATATTATCATATTCACATCTGGAGATATTATCATTTGGATAAGTTTGCTGTAAAATTTCGAAAGTTGTTATTCTACCAATGGCCTTTGTGGGTGCAATCAGTTGTTCAGTGGTATTGTGGATTCATCTTCGTCGGTATTGACAGTTAGATTATCAGCACCGATACTGTTATTAATATAACGATTTGCCATGTGTAGTGTAAAAGAGTAAGAATGGAGTCGATACATAAGTTTGGATAAGCAAGGAGTAACGTGTAGAAAGAAAAGCTAACAGTGGAAATCAAGTCAGTTTGCCTAATCTATGTTATTAAAGTATTGCAATGTTAAAAACGAGAAAAAAAGTTAAAAAATCTCAAATCTTTGCATTCCGATTACATTTAACCTTAAAACATTTAATGGGAAATTTCCTTTAATCTAATTGTTTTATTTAAATAAATAATCAAATCATGACGAATCATAACGCCATTACAAGTTGTATCATGCATATGCGTAACGGAGAAGAGAACAGAAAATAACCAGCATATCAAGTAGAAAGGAACTAGGTAAAAAAAGACGAGAGCATTTTGTTTATAATATTCAAAGTAACAGCTGACCAGAAAGAAGTATGTAAACTGAAAGAAATAAAAAAATGAAGAAAACCGTTATGTAGCTATCGAGTAAGTAGAGTGGATCGTCCTCATTTAATGTTTACTTTTTACTTTTTGTTTTTTCTAAATTTAGTTTGTGCCATTTCAGTTTCTCCCAGTTTACATATTTCTTTTTAGTCAGCTGTTACTTTGAATATTATAAACATTTAAAACGAAATGTTCATTTTCAGAGCACATCAAGTTCAGAGAATGGAACGACAAAACCTTTTTAGAAATGTTGAAGTCTACGCGATCAAAAATCAAATTTTAGTTATTCAAGAAAGGCTGAAACCGCAATGTATATAGACCATCTGATATAACATTCAGTTTGTCTTTTGTTTGCTGAGCTTTGCTATGCGTATTTTGGTATTGTTATCAAGTACACCTAAAGAACTTCAAAGTTTTATTAAAAACTAAATATCAAATAATTTTCCATAGGACCGGTTTGGGACATTGAAACCTAAAAACTAATCTTATTATACAGACAGCCGCTAAATTCGTTAAACACACTATCACAAAATGCTTATTGTTACCATAAGTCTTTCGATTTGAATGCCTCAAATCATGCAGATTTTATAAATCTGTAGGGAGCATTTTTGAAACTAAACCTAGGAACACAGCTAAACTGATGTTAACAGAGTTAAAAATAGACTCTTTCAGTTAAACTATTTTTCTGTTATTGAAACAAATATTTATTATTTAATAATTATTTTCGTGTTTACTATTTTCCGTCAGCGTACCAGCACTGAAGTTGGTGAATTTCCAAGTGGAGTACCGAGTTAGAAAAGCTAGTCATGTTATCAGTTCTTACACTGTGTTGGTTATATGCAAGAGGAGAAAAGTGCACTCCGTCATTCCGCGGAGTAAAGCACACTCCACCGCACTTCGGCATTTCGTACAATGGTCTGTAGTGGCGAAGTGTGCGTTTTTCTTTTAAAATAAAATAGTGATATTTCTTTCAATATTCTTCCCAAAAAATAGAACAACCCTGTTACAAAACAAGAACAATCTTGATCCCAAAACAGAACAATCATATTCTTTTATTGAGAAAATTCCCCTGATAACATGGCAGTTGTGTTCCGGTTTGTGATTTTTTTGTCCCACAGGCAGAACTTTTTGTTCTGCTTGTTCGAACAAAGATCTCTAGGACAGTTCAGTTCAATAAAGTTTCCTTAAGCCCACGGCACTCAGAAACACTCCAAGCTACTCCGAGCCACTCCGAGCACTTCGGCACTCCACGGAGTGCGCTTTTCTCTCCTTGGATTTTAACCAAATGAACAATAAAGCTGTGCTAACTTTCTTGGGACACTCTTTTGCTTCTTGTTTGCCTAATGAATGAATAGGTGTTTTATCGCTAACTAGATACAAGTTAGATAAAACTGCTAATCCAACAGAATGTTTAAACGAATATACTAATAATGGTACAACAAGCCAACAGGAGTGTTGTCACGCCTGAAAAATCCTAAATATAAACGGCCGACGAGAACGATCAATACCTAGCCGGTGATACATTTAATAGTTCTCTGGTGTGACAGAATGAAGCTGGAGAATTTTGTGATCAAAAGTACAGTTACTCTTTATTTGGTGATCATTTGTATTTAAGGATGTTTGGTGATCAAAAGTACGTTCACTCAGAAAAACATATTCAGCAAAAAGTGAAAATGCTGCGGTCACACAGATCAGTTAACAGTGGTTCGTTGCAGTATAGGAAAACACACACACACATATACATATAGAAAAAGGAGCCCGACACGCATCAGTTTGTACATTTCTTTACGCCAAGGAAAAGTAATTTTTATTCTATCACTAATAGTCATGTGTCGTAGTGTACTTTAGTTCAAATTTACTTTTACTATTTATAAATTAAATCTACCCTTTTCACTTATTATACTTACATTAAAAGAAATTAGGAATTGTTATTTTATGTTTTGTATTTTCTTTTCTATTGTCTATATTCAATTTGTCAGTTAGATAATTATTTATTTTAATTTGGGAGTCTAAGTCGAGCATCACCAGGACCTGAATACAAGTCAAGAGAAATTCAACAATTTTCACATATAATTCTAAGTTGGAATTTATTTAATTTAATTTTACGTTTATATTTAAAAAAAGTTACATTTTATAGCGACTTTTCCATTGTATCTGTTATTAATATTCATTCTATATATTGAATTACTGTTCTTAGAATCGAAGTTTAAAATTTTGTCTAATTTTAATATAATTCTGTATACTTAAGGTCTATAGTAAATATTTTTCAGTCACAAAAGGAGTGTCCACAGAAAATTAGAAGTCTCTAGCTATCATGGCTCTTGCGTTACTTTGAGGAGTATTGTATTATGAGCCTACACGTTGACCTTATCCGCCTCCTCCTTTTTCAGGTGACTCTTTCGTTAATTTTGCTATGCAGATAGTACCAACGACAATTATTCGTCTGAGTTCCAGAAGAACAAAAAGCATATCAAATTGATTTTATTTGTGTTTATATAAGCTTGAATGAGAATATTAAGCTCGAATGTTGACTAGTAACGTCAAAGAAACGTAACAAATGTATGCAGATTTGTATTCCTTACTCTTTTATCTGTTAAAGAGTTCTCTCAGAAGATACAATGTAGTTCTTAGGACGACGATTTCACTTGTTTGGTTTCTTTTCTTGTTTTACTTTTCTTTAATAAAAGCTTTAAATCAAGATTCGTAATCCTTCATTTGTATCGCTCTATTGTTTCGTATCTCAAACTTTCTGCAGTTTTTCGATAACGTTTCGTATACGTGCAATACTCGGGTGTAGATCTTGTTTATAATACTTTAGAGTTCTTTTGTAATATTTACGAGCTTTTTTCCAATTTTTTTCTTCTCTATAAAGTTCACCGATATTTTCAAATACTTCTCCAATATCAAAAATATTATTGCCCTTCATAACCAATTGTTTAGACATTTCCAATGCCTTCATACGATATTCGTTACATTTTTCATATTGCTGTTGCTTTCCATAGATTAGTGCTAATATGCTATGTGATTTTGCTTTTTGACGATGAATTGGCGATAACATTCCATCGCTAATTCGAAGTGATTTAAGTGCATATTCCACAGCTTGATCATACTCATTTAATTTATATGAACATAAAGCTATATCATTTAATAGGTACACAAGACTTTCAAGGTTCAAGTTTTGTACGTGTTTTTCGTAGTTTTTCAAAGCTGATTGCATTAATGGTAATGCTTTCTTATATTCGAATTTTTCGTAATAGCAATTACCTGAAACATAATAGCAAAACCCTGTAGATAATAAATCGTCATTTGGCTGTAAGGACAAGGGTTTCTCTATGACATTGATAGCTTCATCATAATGTCCTTTCCTGAAGAAAGCACCCGCATAATGCCAATAGCATTGTGCAATGTTATCTCTATCTTCTGCAGTAGAATTCTGTTCATATAGATCTATTGCTTTTAACGTACAACGAATCGCATTATCATATTCACTTTGCTTTTGACAATTTCTAGCAATACCCGAATGACAATAAACGTAGAGCAGTTTAACATTAAACTGATACTCATCTTTGTCAAAAAAATGGCTCTGATATATCTGAATAGCTTTCTTGTAATGATCTATAGCAATATCAAACATAGATTTGTATTCATAAGCAGCACCAATATTCTGATAGCAAAGACCGATAGTAACATCATCACTTTTCGATATTCTTTGCCGAATTTCTAACGATTTCTTCGTAAATTGCATTGCATCATCAGGATGTATGTCTGTCAATAGTTCACCGATATCAAAATAACACTGTGCTTGTTTTTCTTCATGTGATAGTTGACATGTTTTGTTGTCTAGACTAACAGCTCTCATAAGATAGCTTACGCCGTTGTCATAATCAGTTTTGAATAGATAGATTTTACTTAATGCTTTTGAAATGTTTACAACATTACTCGAGTTATCTGGTAAAAATGTTTCATATTTTTTCAAAGCTTTTTCATAATATTCAATTGACATGTCATATTCACTTAGATTTTGATAACATTCAGCAATGTTTGAATGACATTTACTATATAGTTCGATACCATCTTTATCAGATAAATGTTTCTCACATTCTTCAATTGATTTTTTGTACATTTCAATTGCTTTATCATATTGTTTTATATTTTCCATATAAATTTCACCAACCGTACAATTATATTTAGCACGATTTATATCATTATCTGGCAACAAGTTTACGGTCCTTTCCATATAATGAACACCTAAATTATATTCATTCTTTATTACATGCAATAATACGAGAGTAAAGAGAGAAAAGACAAGGTCAGCAGCATGATCGCGCTTATTACATATCCTACTATGTGGTTCGATAGTGTACAGATACTTTGTAATATATTTAATAGCTAAATCGAACTCTAATTTCAGAACATAACTAATTACTATTCGTCTAAAATAATCTGATAGAACACATTGATCATAGCTGAATGCACTTTCCGCTATTTCTATTGCTTTATTAAGATATTCTATTGTTTTGTCATGTTCATCTTGGTCTTGATAAATAGTAGCAACATTCGAATGACATTTGGCATAATTTCTTTTTATTTGTTCATCCGATAAATGCTTTCCATAGATTTCGATTGCCTTCTGATAGTGTTCTAATGCTGAGTCAAACGAAGATTTCTTTTGGAAAGCCCAACCAATATCGTGGTGACAAAGGCCAATCTTAGCATCGTCACTTTTCAATATTCTCTGTTGAATTTCTAACGATTTTTTCAAAAGTGTAAGTGCATTATCCGGATCTTTTTCAAATAATTCTATACCCATATTGTAATAGCATTGTGCTTCCTTTTCGTTATCCAGTAACTGACATGTTTTTTTATTAATATTTATAGCTTTCATAAAAAAGACAAATGCGTTATCATGGTCGCTCCTGAATAAATAAGCCATACCCAAGGCTTTTGAAATTGTTTCAATATCATTTATGTTATCGGGCAGATAAGTTTCATATATTCGCAATGATATTTGATGATATTTGATCGATTTGTCGATGTCATTTCGTTTCTGATGAATGAAAGCTATTTTTGAATGACATTCACCGTAAAGTTCTTTAACGTTAAATTGATATTCTTCTTTATCCGACAAATGTTTTTTGTACACTTCAATAGCTTTTTTGTAATGATCTACAGCTAAATCAAATATGTCTTTGACTTCATATGCAGCGCCAATATATTGATGACAAAAACCAATGTTAACGTCATCAATTTTCAAAGTTTTTTGTCGAATATGTAATGACATTTTAGTATATTTAAGTGTATTATCAGGATCCGTTTTTAGTAAGTGTTCACCCATATCAAAATAGCATTGCGCTTGTTTTTGTTTATCGGTTAGATATTTCATTTTTTCATCGATGTTCATCTTTTTCATAAAAATCTTAAAGGCATTTTCATGATCATTGTTTAATAGACAGGAGTTACCTAACGTCTCCATTAATTCTCGAATTTGATTAATATCATTTGGTATATATAGTTCACCTATTTCTAAAGCTTTTACATAATGTTTACACGCCCAACTGTCATCTTTCATTACACTATAAGCTCGACCAATATTCTTGTGTGTGCGCAAAATTTCCTCATAATTCGGTGGTTGTGCCTTCTCTAAGAATTTCAATGATTTCAATGAATCTTCTAAAAACTCAGACACTATACCGTCCAATTGAGACAAGAGAGGCAAAATCTTGATAAAAGCATCTTCCAAAAGTGAAGATATCGTTTTATAATCCATTTTTGACAGTTTTGGTCCCATTAATTCAGCCCAGGGATCAAAATCACCTTCATATTGTTTTTTCCTGTAAATTTCCCTGATTCTTGATAAGGATTCTACGTACCGTTTACGTTTGAGTGGTGATGAAATATGCTTTTCTCTGAAGTTTAAGCTCTTCAGTAGATATTCTAATGCCTTGTCATCGTTCTTTTCATTAGAATATATTAAAGCTATATTTTCGCATGTTAGTGCAATCAATTGATCATGATCCACACATTTACACATTTCTGATGGATTCTCATATATATTCAATGATTTTATGTGATAATTAAGTGAAATTTGACTGTCTTGTTCTAAACAGGCAAAAGAATTCATACAACGCCCAATTACACAATGATTGTCTGGCAGACGAGCATCCTTCTTTGCCATCTTGTATGATATGTCAGTATAAATTCTTGCATTCTGTTTGTCATTTTGATTATAATAGATAGCACCGATAATACTTGCTAGTCTGGCTGCATTTTCAAAGCGATCTGATGAAAAATAGCCATTAAATGCACTAATATAATACACAATAGCTTCACCATAATTATTTTCATATTCATATGTACGTCCAATATTTTCATGAATCTTAGCAAAATTATCGTGTTCGTTTTTACAGTGATGAAGTAGATTTTTGAAATATTTCTGACATTGTTTATTTTGCCCACTTTCAAACAAAAGATTACCCAGTAGGATGTTAATATCCTTTTCGTCAGGATACTTTCTAAGGACTGTCTCTGTGTCAGTCGTCAATGATTCATCTTCTACAGCTGTTAATGTAACAATCCACATCTTTTCCTTCATGTCATAATTTACTACACGTAAAGTAAATGACACTCCTAAATCGAACAAGATCTCTTGTTCTTCTGGATAATGACTATATTCAGCAATATCAGCTAATGCTGTTGCTAATTTTGATGTGTTAACATCAATTTCTAGTAGAACGGTTTCCGTATCTGAACGTTTTGAACCTTTCTTAGCAAATGTATAGGCAATCTCACGTGAACGACTAGTAGATAAAAATCCATTTGTTGCTATACTTTTACCCAGATTATGTTTAAGATTGTGAATTTCCGATGGCGTTAGTTGCAAGCCACGGTAGGATAGAAGGATAGGAGAATCTTGTTTTAGTTGTTGTTTCAAATCATCATACCGTCTATTTAGACTTTCACATAGATCAACAATAAAGAATCGAAATATTAAAAGTGCTTCATAATCTTCAGTACGTAAGGCTTTATTAATCAAACGATAAACAAACGATTCTCTAGTATACCAGAAGATTGCATCTTGCGGTTTATATGTCTGTTCAAATTCTTCGATATTCAGCAGCTCTTTTTTATTTCCACGATAATAGTTACGGCATATATCGATCATTTCACGTTTTGCCGCTTCATTACTATATTCACTCTTCAAAAGGACTTGTTTAAATGCACGAAATACGTTAAACCCATGTGATTCCCATTTTAAATTTCTCATTGCTCGTTGATCTTGTTCAAATAAACCTTGTGCTTGTGACTGTTTTATTAAATCACGTATATTTTCTTGTACAGCTTTTAGCAACGGTTCATGTTCAGTGTAGATTCCAATAACTTTGTAATATTTCTCGTTATTTAGAAATGCTTGGTATTTTTCACGTTTCATACAGAATATATAGACAGAATCAATTTGTTTATGATTATGTATCTCATCTAAAATATCTTGTGCACTGACGCCCGACAGAATAAGAAATGCTTTTTCCGTTTTAATTTTACTGATATACTCAATACATGTTTCACGATTGTTACAGATTAAAACATAATCATTGATTTGTTGTAATAATTCAGCTGTTTTCCTCGTATCATCACGTACATCAATATTTTTATCGTATCATATTAACGTTGTTTCCTCTTTATTCGTATTTTCGTTGGTTGCAATGATCGATGATGGAAGTATAGTGGGAGCCGTAGTTGTGGTTTTTTCATCCTGACTGGCTGGTGACTCTAAGACTGCTACATACAAGAAGAAAATTTGATAACAGATGGAAGTATTGTTCCTAATAAAATGATGTGAATTCTGATTGATGAAAAAGTCGATATTGCGTATATGAACAACAAGCATCTTATTTTTTTCAAACGGAGAGATTATTAAAAAAGTGCTTCTAGACAAATAACTAATTTCACTTACTTCTTAATTTTTAATCATTGAGTCCGTTTGGATGAATTCTTTGTTACTTTCCTGTCGAACATATTCACGTATAACCGATAAAAATTTCTCATTTCTGCTCATCATTGATTTAAGTTCATCATTATTCATTAATGAAGCTATTATGAGGTAGGCTTCATCTTGTACTTCAGTTATTTTCTGAATAACTTCTTGTCGTTCTTTGACATATTTCATAATTAGTTCATTACAATTGATTAAACTTACCAAAAGACGAATAACACTTTTAGTCAACGATAGATCTTCTTGTATTAACAAAGGTTTACTAAGAATCAATAGGAGATCATCTGTAATTCGAACTAGTTGATCATTTACGGATGTAGTCGAAGAGCGAAGTTTCAAACTATGATTTAATAGATCGATTAACTGAATAACAGGTTTCGGTCGTTTGTATGAATATTTTCGGAGTATGTGCACTGAAGATGGTAATTGTGTTTCTAATAAAATATTGGCTATTTCTTCTTTATGAGGGCCTGAAAAAGTAACATTTGAAAAATATAATAAAGCTAGTTAGCCTAGACGGGATTAAGATGGTAAAGCACCTTAATGGTATACTATATATTGTTGATACTTGAACGGAGAGTGTACGTATGAGCCATTTTAAAGTGTTTTGAATATACAGTATAATAGAGGGTCCACTAGTGATTGCTCGCCTACTGTGGAGGGAGAAGGGGAGGTAGAAATATGTTCATAAAAGGCAAATCTTGAAATAAAAATAGACCGAAAATGGATGTTTTAGTGGCATAGAAAGACCATTTTTATGCGTTCTGGTGTAGATAATAGAGTGCCCTGGCGTTTGCATTTCCCCTTGGTGAGGGGATACAAGAATCGGGCAAACATTTTTTTTTCGGAGTATTATCTGGAACTTCTCTTTCCTTTTTGTAGGAGTGGTATAATAGAAATGTGTATATATCTAGAGTTTCTTACCTCTATAGCTCATCCAGTATATTGGACATGATGACAATAGAAATGTACCGCTACTGTCTTGTCGTTTAAACATTTTAACGTAATACTTCGAACATAGACATTTTACAGTAGCATGCATAATTTGTTCATCTTCTTCGGCATAAAGACTGACTAACTTTGAAAACTATTTCAAATGTAGCTTATCATTATTCAAATGTTTTCCATACTTGGAAATATCATTTAAACATTTTTTAATTGATGGTATCAGCTTCTTTGAATTTGAATTTATTTTTATGAATAATCTCGTTATAGAACAGAATAAAAATGATTCATAGAATTGTTGCAAGTACTGAATAAAAGTCATGATTTATAATCAAAGGATGTGTTAATAGCGTAGATTTAGCATTTTCTAACAGAAGAAGAATTGTGGATAATTGCTTCGATGATGATGATGGTAAATGGATAAAGTTATCATAAATTTGTTTTAATTGCTTGGCTGTTGGAACTTCTCGATTAACTCGTTTACGTTGTGAAGTGTGTGTTTCGACTCGATAAACACGTGGCTGATCTTGTCCTTGTTGCATTCTTCGTTAGGAATGTAGTATTACTAATGTACGATTTCTCTTAAAACACGGCTTTATGTATATCAAATTTTTGTTGAAAAAACAAAGTTAGA